TATATATATATATATATATATATATATATATACAGGGTGGTTATAAAGAAAAGTCCACATTTAAAATAGTTATATCTTAAAAAAATACTTATTTCACCAGATGCACATTGGGAATTATAAGTTTTATTCAGAAAAGTTTGGGTACGTTAGAGAGATTTTTTAAAAACTCTCACGGAAAGTGTTTTAATATGCTTTTTGCCATTTTTATTCTGCATAAATGAAACTATATCAAGTATCATAAGTTCTGTACCTTTTTTCATGGATTTTCTCAATATTCTGCACTCTAACACGCATTGTATTCAAATTGCCAATTTCCACTTGTTGAAAGAGAGAGAGGAAGAGAAACAAACATGATAACGTTCTTCTCGAAAAAAGCGATTTTTCACTGCAGTGCAATATTGGAAATAATTCTTATAATACAAGAACAGTACTGCTGTATCGAATAAAAGGAATATTAGCAGTTTATGTATTGTATCAGTTAAAACTGACGATAAAACCGAAAACGACACAAGTTAAACCACTGATGAACTTAAGAAAAGAACCACAAAAATCGCGTGCATTTTCCAACCCCTTTCCTTCAGGATTAATCGTTGAATAAACGATAAATAATAAATGATACAAGATAACAATACATGTAGAAAACATGAACTTTCTCTCGTTAAACTATATAGGAAGAGTGAGAGCGAGAGAGAGTTGCGATTCCAATGGCGGCGCCAGCCTCCTGCTCCCTTTACTCCCTTCTCCATCCCACCCACATGGATCTCCTCATGGCCCTTCGTAAATCTAATAAATCTTGTAAATCTAATCCACCTTTGTATACTTTCATATGTTGGTTTATTGTGGTTCAAAGCAAATTCCGTTGGTTTCAAACTCTTTTATAAAGAAGGCAACTGGAACATTTCTTACAGTTCTTGAATTTTTACACATAATTTACCACTCGCTATTTACCAACGATTTAAAACAACAAACAAAATTATTTACTGAGTTTTGTTCTAGTAAGTGCTTTATATGCACTGCTTCTGTCCTTTTATATAACGTTTGTTTGTTTTGTTTGTTTTTAATTATGCACAATACTACACCAGGGCTATCTGTGCTCTGCCCACCACGGGTATCGAAACTCGGTTTCTAGCGTTGCAAGTCCGCAGACATACCGCTGTGCCACTGGGGGGCTTTATATAACGATTTGTTTGTTTGTTTTGAATTTCGCGCAAAGCTACACTAGGGCTATCTGCGCTAGCCGTCCCTAATTTAGCAGTCTAAGACTAGAGGGAAGACAGCTAGTCACCACCACCCACCGCCAACTCTTGGGCTACTATCTTACCAACGAATAGTGGGATTGACCGTCACATTATAACGCCCCACGGCTTAAAGGACGAGCATGTTTTTTGGTGGGACGGGGATTCGAACCCGCGACCCGCAGATTGCGAGTCGAATGTCCTAACCACCTTTATATGACGAAAAAGACTTTGATTACCTCAAATCTTCAAGGTAAATATTAAAAAAAGGCTTAGAAACATTCTCTAAAATTGATAAGTTATTACTCGATTAGCCTCAAAATCATTCGGTAAATGTTTAAAAAAAACGAGTTCAAAAAAGTATTGATTCCAAGTAAATCATCAATAATTTCTGATCAAAGGAAATTTCCTACATAGATCAGAACTAGAAACTAACTCAATAACTGATTTGACTAATTTGAAAATACCGGTCTAACTAGAAGTATTTTATATAACAAAACTTACAATGATTAGTACACATTGATTCTTCAATTCGGTACCCTCGCTGTTATCAATAGTTTGTACCGTAATGCCTATAATACCCCACGGGGCTCGGATAACTTAAAATATTTAAATTAGCTCAAATACACAAATTAAGCTAACAATGCAAGATAATCCTCATAACAAATCATATATAGCTATTGTTATTGAGTTAGCTGTCAAAAATCATAATCTCGCCTCAGCAGCTCCTTCTCCAACCATCTCTATCCTCCGTTCTTCTCTTTCTCTCACCACACAATATTCTATCTCTCAGATCTTAGTACTAAAAATATGTATATTAAACTTTTGACTAATACTGTTAATGAGACTAACTTTAAAAAAGAATGGAATACGACGTCACTTACAAGACGTATGAAAACTGGTTTGTTTGCTTCATGTACTGCTGCAACGGATTTCTTGTCCCTTGGAAAATATCATAAGACATTGATAAGAAATTCTGTTCATTCTTTTTGTACGTCTAATCTAAAAAAAAAAAACATTATATTTGCCACATTTCTGCAAACATAAGAATGGCCGAGTGTTGATATTATGAACTTCTCAAAAATAGCAACTTAGTTTATACTAATTAAAAATTGGTTAATGTAAGTGATTATGTTATATCGATGCTCAAAGGAGTTTCAATGTACATATGTAAAGAAGATGAAGATAAAATTAAAACATCACTAAAGAACAAAAAGATAAAAGTAAAGCTTATGAAATGCTTGAAATTCCGATAGTTAGAAGAAATTGTTTCTTAATTATTCAAGCAGCATTTTGTAAAGCCTTGCGTACAGATAAAAGTAAATATTTTGAACAGTTAATTAAGAACTTTAAAGAAATTGGCTTCCATTATTTATAAGATATTTGATATTGAAAACAGCAGATTATAACATCAGGACCAGAAGATTAGGATTCAAGGGTCTAGAAGAGATATACCACATACAAGACTAGAAGATCAAAGTTAATAAATTAAAAGAATTTAAGATCGAAATATATGACGTAATGAACTGGAAGATCAGGATTCATGATCTAAAAAAGTCTGACATCAAGATATACGACTTAAAGGACTTTAAGATCAGGATTCATGAGTTAGTAGTTTAAGATCAAAATATACGATTTATAGACGTTTTAAGAGATAATTCTTCACAACGCAAAGAAGTTAAAGCTCAGAATTCACAATGCAGAAATGTCAGAGGTCATGATTAACGACTTACACCGTAAGAGTATCAAGATTCACTACTTATAGGCGTTTAAGATACGTCTTCGTGACATACAATTATCAAGTTAAAAAATTCACGACAAAAAGGCGTCAACTTGCATGGTTCGTGATATAATATATCTTTTTGTTTCAAATATTCACGAAGAAAGGTATGGAAGACGAGTAGTTATATTTTAAGAAGTGGAAGATCAGAATTAATGGTTAAGATGTTCATTAAGTAAGCACATTCGTACTGGATGGAATGTCATATGCTAGAAGTGATTCTTGCAAATACTTTATATGCTGTTAGATATACACGACTGTTTAAGTTTAATGTGAAAGTTGTGATTTAGATAGTTTATATAGCGCGACTGTTAAATTTAGTATTCCTAGAAGTGATAGTCTATCGTAGGTTTGTTTGCCTAACTGTTTGCGAACCATACATTATGTGATTCAGTAGTTACGAATTGGTGATTGTTATATTATTGCGTCATGTTACTAAAATCTTCTGAGTTGTTCTTGTTTTATCTGAGTATTATTACATCATAATATCTAGTAGTGTGTCGAACGTTCTAGACCTCTGTCAGGGTATAAATACGCGTCATAATTTAGTTTGAAAGATAGATCTAGACTGATTGATTGTGAGTTTAGCAATAAAGAGGGTATAGTTACGATTTATGAAATGAAATTATCACAGATTGTATTGTAATAACAGAGTAGAGAAGAATAATTCGTCTTGTCAATTGTATTCTAAACTAATGTGGACTTTAATGAAAAAGATACAATTATGTAAAGCTCTGGATAAAATTGTGAAAACCAACAGTGTAACGAACATTTGTATATATTTTTGACTTGTTTGAATATATTATTTTAAAACAAGTGAAACGTGTGCTGTTTGTTTATTGTTGAAATTTATCGCCAACAAGTCACAGGCACCTACTGTAAAGAACCCGGCCCATCCAAAAAACTAACAAACTAACATATGCTTTAGACAGGTGTAAGTTAAAAACGAAAAATGCTTCGGAACACGGTTCAAAAGTTTTTGTTGTTGTTGTTTTTTGTAGAAGAAAATTCATTTTTGAATGAGTCAGAAAGAAAGGTGACAACTTCATTTCGAAATCCAAATGTTTATGAGCAACGTGTTATGATAAACCACTGAAGTTAAAAACTATATGAGAATTGGTAATTGTATAGGTAGTGTTTTTTCTTCGCACTTTCCAAAATGCACTAGATAAAGGTATATTATACGTAATACAAACATTATCACAATAAAACCATAAGACTGCAGTAAGAGAGTACTTAAACAGAGAGTGCTATCTAAACGTAATACAAACATTATCACAATAAAACCATAAAAGACTGCAGTAAGAGAGTACTTAAACAGAGAGTGCTATCTAAACGTAATACAAACATTATC